AAATTTATTGTTTCCAACTTTTGCATTTGCTCATTTCTTTTGAGTATATCAATATTCATCTCAATACATAAATTGTTTTTTTTTTTTTATTTAAAAAGATTACAGTGGATAACTTCTGCACATGCACACTGGTGTGTAGCGATGTGCAGAGAGGATGCTGGCCACTGTCGGTGAATATTTCATTGTAGCTCTGGGTGAACCTACCCTGCATACTGAGCTGCCAACTTCTATTTAGACTAGATGCTGCTGTTAACAGTACTATATGTGTCTATGTACAGTATGCGCGTGACTGTGTAAGGAGGTGTGCATGTCTGTGTGTGTGCTTGGTTTGAGCGGACTTGCTTATAGTCATTCCCTATGTTATATCATCAGGCACAGAATTGTGGGTAGGGCCCTGGAGAATAGCTGGCCATGGACAGTGTATCTGTCTTCAGGCCCCTCGCTGGCCAACTGATGGCACCAGCACCACAGGTAGTTGACTTTTCTTCACAAGCATTGCATGACAATAGGCACACACACACACGCTGCATATCATGTCAACATTTTATACATGTACATTTACAGGCATGTTTGCAGCTGTGTGAGGTCAGATAAATAAACAGAAAAGAAAGCATGTGATCAAGAATGAGACTGTCCTCACAGATAAATGAGGACTGTACTGACTGTGTGTATGTGTGCAGGTACCTCCACAGTGAGAGCAGTGGTAGTCGTCGAGCTGAGCGTTGGGTCCTGTTGCTGCTTCTTGTAAACCAGTCTATAATAAGTAATTAAGCCGTTGGGCTGTCTGGGTTCAATCCACTTCAGGTGGACTGAGTATGCACCTGTCAAAGTGCACAGCATATGGGCCTGTTGCAGTGATTCAGTCCAAGACATTTTAACTATACTAATATTCATGACTCGGCAAGCTCACCGGTGGGCGTGGCAGTGGGAGGGGCCATATCTTGTGGTTCTGCCTGTAAGGTCTGGGCTGAAGCCCACTGGCTCAGAATCGAGCCTTTGGAGTTGTGGGCTCGAACCCTGTACTGGAAGTAGCTGAAGGGTCGCAGGCTGGGGCTTGCATCAAAAAATTCAAGTGGCCCACTGGACCAGATGAACACCAGCAGCTCCTCCTCAGTTCCTACTGGACGCCTATAAGAAATAAGCTCTTGGTTTAGTCATGCATCAGGTTTTTTCCCCTACAGTCCAAAACAAAGTATGCAAGTCTATTTTCTGAAAATAAAGTGAATACACAGTGTTGAAAGTTAAATTGATACTGTTTAATTTGAGCATATGCAAAAGCTACACTTCGGATATCCTTCAACGGTGCATATGAAAAGCTACACTTCGGATATCCTTCAACAAACCGTATGTTATTATGTGGCAAATATATTTTAGTACTTCAGAGTACAGAAAAGAAACGCACTTTGTGTGGAACTGAAATAAAAAATTTAACATCACGTCTTAAACATCACGTGTAAGTCATTGGCTGATGCAAGCACCCTGATGTCTTGGTAAGCCCGTCTGTCTGTGATTACGCAGGGTTTCAGGTGTGCGTGTGTGTGTGTGTGTGTGTGATTGAGAGAGAGAGAGAGAGAGAGAGGAAAACAGAGATTTTCTTATTTTATCCAAGTCGCTGTCTGCTTGACTCTGATCATGCCAGGTGTGTCAGTGTGTGTGTGTGTACTGCTATGCTAATGTGTGTTTCCTGAGGACTTAAAGGGCTTAGTCTGCTCTGACCCTGCATACAGATCACACACTCTGGTCAACAAGCAGACCATGACCTTCAGCATGTATTAATACACATGCACACACAACATATATAGATTGCAAATTCTGGCTTGCCAGACGCATCACCAAAACTTCTAAGTTTATATATATACATAGTGTATGTGTACATCATATGTATGCACTGAGTATGTGCACATACTGATAGATGAGACAATGAGTTGATAATCTGAACACCAGACCACCGTGGTTTGTGTGAGTACATAACAGCAGCTTTATGTATGGTGTAGTTGTGTCTTTCTGCTTGTCTACACATCATCATCCACTTTTTAAACTCTCTCTCATGATATAAAAACACTTTGCTCCTCTAGACATCAGAAATGGCTGCTCAACGGTTTCTGTAGTTAAAAGCACCTTGGTATACACTCATGGCAGCCCTGCATTTCTATCCGGTAACACACCACTTCCGCCTGAAAATTGTTGCAATCACAAAATCTTTGGTAACAATCACTTTTATTGGCCAAGTATGTTACACACAAGGAATTTGATCTAATGCACAATGCTGCAGGATAATACTGTATAACATCAAAATTTGAGACTGGCAGCTATAAAGATGAAAGGCACTGCCATGATGTGCAATTATTATAACTGCTAGGACAGTGTTATTAGACTACTATAAAAAGTCTTAGGAAGGAGGTCATGGTGGGTGGTTGTGCATGCAAATTGTGACTCTGATACAGTCTCCCACAATGGTCAGTGTTGGATTCTTTAAACCATTCAATCAATCCAAGCAATGTTCAACTCAGCCAAGTAGTTGATAGACAAAACTGTATTTTAAAAATAAAGTCAGCAGATCAGAAAATGCTCCTGTGGTTGATGGAACAGTAAAAAGGGCAATTTTAGAAGACACCGTGAAACACTATTTTGTTACTTTGGTATGATGATGTCTTGCAAAATCTGTCTGTTGTACTTAGATCTCCACTGCCTGTCACCTGTGTATATGGTAGGAGGTGATGAGTCCATTAGGTTTTTTGGGTGGTGACCAGTGGACCTCCAGGACACTGGCTCCAGCTGCCTCTACTGAGGGGGGCTGCAGACCTTCTGGGGCTGCTTCTAAAGTCTGAACGGAAACACCTTCTCCCACCCCACACCCCTCTGTAAAGGAGCAAATGTGATAAAAAGTCCACACACATAATTCCATTAGTTTCCTTCATATTAATGGCACAAGTCACATCTACAATCAGAATATTATAGCTGAAACACCTCAGCTACACAGTTTCACTATTAAGCTATTTTCACTCTGAATTCATTTCCTCAAATAAACAGTATGTGAAGCTAATATCTATACTTAAAGCTAATAGTGTTATAGTGCACAAACACAGTAGCTGATCCTTCACACTCAAAGACATTTACCAGTCTGACAGGCCTGCACTCTGATGTAGTAGGCGGTGAATGGCTCAAGACCAGTCACACTGAGCTGCAGCTCTCGCCCAGCACTACGCGTCATGGCTCTGACACTTCCTGGATTTATCAGGATGTTGTATTTTACAAGCTGGCTGCTGTTGAGTTGAGCTGTGGAAACAAAGAAAGACATATGATTACCTGTAATTATTAGTTATGTTATTTGTTGCAGTGCATTTTTAACTGAAACAAAAATACAAGTACTGCAATTTAAAATTTCTTGAATCCAGACAGACACACCAAGCATGGAGTGTGAGATATGAAACATTATTTAGAACATGTCATATCCATAACACTAAGCACTTTGCAAAAAATGTATTAATCATTTAAATAAAATAAAAAAACAATTTGAAAAGGCAGTACAACTTGCAATATCTTACGATTTGATAGGACTTGAAAATAATTTACTCAACATTGTTACCAACAAACATTAGTACAGCAACATACACACTATAGAACTATACTACAAAAAAGACTGACAGCTATACTTCTGCTTAGATGGTAAATCAAAAACCACTGTTGCATTCTCACCCCCCGCTGTTAACTGATTTTGTAAAGTGGGAAATTTAAAGGCTAAGACTGATGGTTTGACTTTCACAATTTGAAGTGCATTTCTGTAGTGACAGTTTGTTGGATACGAGTACTCTGACCAGCTGTAAAGTATATGGTCTCCCACAACTACATCTACACATCTGGTTCCATTTTTGTCTGATGGTGTCTTCACAATCCTGGCACTGTGGTCCCACAACCAGCCATAACACACAACAGTAGACATGCAAAACCACCCTCACAGATGCACACACGCACCCAGACTTTGTTAATATTCTCACTGCAGGTTTTTCCATAATTCAGGCCTACTGTATTGTGATGGGTTATTCAACATTCATGAACTCTGGATATCTTGAGAACGAACTGATTACCAGACAAATGAAAGACTTCAATTATTCACCCCCCAACTCACATATGCACGCACACACACACACCTACACACACAGAATCCTTCCTTACCAATAGTGGAATGTTGAACTATGCTGATAGTGTGGACCACTATTTCTTGTCATTCTCAAGGGAAATGTATTTCAGGTCTTCTGTCTTAGTACAACTGCAAAACTGCTTTTGTAATTTTCTTTTAAAAACTCTCAAGAGGATGAAGGTTCTTTCTGTGTAGAGTTTGCATGTTCTCCCTGTGCCTGTGTGGGTTCTCTCCGGGTACTCCGGCTTCCTCCCACAGTCCAAAGACATGCAGCTTAGGTTGATTGGTGACTCTAAATTGCCCATAGGGGTGAGTGTGAGTGTGTGTGGTTGTCTGTCTATATGTCAGTCCTGTGGTAGACTGGCGACCTGTCCAGGGTGAACCTTACTCTAGCCCAGTGTCAGCTGGGATTGGCTCCAGCCCCCCGCGGCCTTATTCAAGAATAAGCAGTATAGATAAAGGATTGATGGTTGGAAACTGCCAATACGGGGCTTGCAGCCTATCTAACGAAGAGGGGACCTCTAGAGCCCAGAGTGGGACTGTCTGTGGTGAACACAGACTGGGACATGAATGCATACATTCATTATACCATTTTTAACATTCTGCACTGAAAAGTTCTACAAATAATAATGTACTGCTGCACTCGGTCCAAACCAACCAACCCCACTACCAGTGGCACTGGGGGCTTCTCTCTGAGGGTTTATCAGTATTTACTTTGGACGTTGGACTAAACTCACTGAGCCTCATACGCATACCCTGACAGCTTCCAAGCAGTCCTCTAACACACTATGCAATTTGCTGATAATACTTATTGTCTGCAAGTCTCTCATGTGGATGCTGGACTTCAAGATTCACCAACCCACAACCTCAGGCTGAGCCATTTGGTCAGACACATCTGAGCTGTACTTCTTTGTGCATTTAAATGTTTGAGCAAATCTGAAAATTCAGTGCACCTAATAAGGACTGAACCCATGGTGTCAAAACCTCTGAGCCCCCCTCTGACCCCCTGATCTGGCTGTAAAAACACACTTAGCCAATATTTGTTAGAGCCAGTGGGTGTTTGCTTTAGGTTTTGGATTTCAAAATTCAGTCCAGTGCCTGAGGTTTGACCCCAGGATTTCAAAGTTAAGAGTGGCCTCTAACTCCAACATCCTGAGCTATTAGACTGAACACACTTGAGCTTCATCGTTTGGAGCTGTTGACTCCTTTGGACACTTGTGTTAAAGTGCACACTAACCAAATTTCTGCCCTGAGTGCTTCTCAGTTGTTTAAAGTGTTTTTTTGGATCTGACGACTGAAACCTCAGCCATTTAGACACATATGAGCTGTATTTCTAGACTCTTCCCTTCACACACTGCAGCTGCAGGCTAGGGCCCGCATCGGTCCTGCACTGTGTATGAGCGCGCCATTAGAATCCCTGCTCTGACTCACAGAAGCGGAGCGGAGCATGAACTTTAGCAAACAACTGTAGGTTCACTCTGGGTGAGTAAAAGAAAGCAAAAGAACTTTTCATAACAGCACACTGAGCTAACGCACAAACACACAGACACAGCTTTGATCTGTATGTTGCTATAGCGATTTAATCATTGTGATCTCTAAGATCTAACAACTGCTCTGACATCTTCTATTTCACACAAACAATGGCCATAAATGCCCACTTTTACCTTCATGCAAACACACATTACCTTCTTATACACAGGCACATAGAGACAGATACAAAAAAGTGAAAAGTGATCCTAGAGTAAATGCCTTTTTAATAGCCATACGTCAGTGTTTTGCCAGTCAGCGTATGCATGTGAAGACTCAAACATGCATGCATGTACGTACACAGAGAATGACGCTGTGTCAGAGGGCCTGGCACACACACAGATACACACACAAGTCGAAACCACTCCAAACTCTGGGCTCAGGGAGTTAACCAAGCGTGAGAACCCAGCTGATATTTCCTCACCTTTAAAATCAGCCCGTAATGACGATAGAATAGGCCTGCCTATGGAAATACCTCTACAATGACACGCACACACACACACACACAAACACACACACACACACACACACACACACACACACACACGTATAAAAATGTATACACAGACACAAATACGCAAAAACAAAAGACATGCAAACCCACACACGCACACGGTGAAGTGTCTTTGCTAGCTGCTTCTATAAGCGGTTTCTGAAATAGGAAATCAGCCTAATGAGAGAGTAATAGTCAATGATAGATGGGTTAGGGCAGACAATCACTGCCCCATAAGCATGAAACTCAGCCCCAAGTATATGCTCATGTATGTGTGAGTGTGCTCAGGTCCTGAGAGGCCAGAAGGTGAATGGAAAACTACTCAGGGCCTTTGTTGCAGACTGACCCCTCTCTGTCTATTCAGAGAGAGAGGTCAGTGATTCACGTGGGGAGAACTAAGCTCAGTCACTGTTTTAGTGTGTCAAACATATAGATTGTTAGAATATCACTTTTCCTCTGTGAAATAAGATAATGCATGTACCACATTTTCTCAAATTGCTCCTAGTTTGTGTTTGATGCAATCAGAAAATATAATCACAAGATAATGATGCTGTTGGTTCATTGGGTTGTGAACAGCTCTTTCTGCAGTGTGATAAACCTGAGGATACCCATGTTCGTTAAGGATGAAGTCAAGGTAAGTTAAGGTCAAATGTAGTCTTCCCTTCTGGAAACAGATGTAAAATCCTTATAAACACTGATCTTTCATACAGAATTTCCTTTTATTTGCTAAATGTTCTGGTGAACATTCTCAGTTACCCAAAATGCCACAGCAACTTTTATTAGTATAGCGCCAAATCACAACAAAAGTCATCTGAGGACACTACAAAGTAAGGTCTAGACCTTACTATTATTATTTAAAAAAACCCAACAAATCCCCCTTGAGCAGCACTTGGTGACAGTGGGGAGGAAAAACTCCCTTTAATGGAAGAAACCTCCGACAGATCCCGGCTCTTGGTGGGCGGACTTCTGCCTCGACCAGTTGGGGTGAGTGGATAGAGGAGAGACAAAAGAAGAAAAGCAACAAGACACAACAAACTATCAAACACTGGTCAGGTTGATGAGGCTGGTGACTGCTCGTCAGAGACATAGAGCTCCAGGGCCAGGGCAACCTGCAGAAAGGTACAGGGAGAGAGAGAGGACACACTACGGGAGAGAGGAGACAAAGTCCATCTGTCCTTTATCCATCTATCCATTTGTTCAGACTACTACTCACCAGGAGGGGCCCAGGCAAGAGAGATGGAGTGGGGGCCTGACACTGTCACATTGTGAGGAGGTGGTATCCCAGCGGGGCACGAGACTGGAGTCTGTATAACATATTTGTCACTCACAGTGGTTCCACCCCCAGTAGTGGCATCCAGCTCATACACATACCTGAAGGAATGGCGGGGTAAAAAGGAGTGTGGAGAAAACAGCAAAGACAGCGAAGGGGCACAAAGAAATGAGGGATCAGAGAGAAGGAAACAATATGTTAAGGGGCAGTTTCACACAAAACAGCACCAGTGAAGACGGTACAGTAAAATGTCAGGTAAAGAAAGGGAATTTTATCAATAGATATACTGTATTAATAAACAGTGTATATCGTAGCGCTTTGCTATCATCTATGATCCAATCTGAAAATATAGTTTATTTGAATTACATGTTACATATATCATCTTCACATACTAGGGGTGGAAGTGTTCGCAGTTGACCTGTGATCCATAGGGACGCCCCCATCCGCCCCCGGTTCGCCCATGTGAACCGCAGATTAATTGCAAAGTTCAACCATCACGGTTTTCAAAATTTTTTTACTGTCGCTGTAAGTTTTTAAAGTAACAATTCTCTAAATCTTGATGCAGAGTTGCAGTGAAAAGATACAAACAAAGCTGTTGTGTGTTCATGTCAACAACATACGGCTTTATAAATGTTCATCATCATGGAAACAGTCACAGCTATGAAACATGCAGTTTCATTATGTTTAGGCTCAGAAAATACCAGGTTAGGTTTAGGCTTAAACTCTACTTGGTGACGATGATTCAAAATGAGCACTGGATCATTTATTGTAAGATTTTTTTTTAAACTTTGGGCTTTTTTGGGGGGTTTTCTTATGTGAAAAATGACCCAATTCATGACTTAAATACCATAATCCAAACCAAACTGAGTATTTTGATCCAATGCACCCCCTCTCACAAACCCAAGTAACTGAAATACATTATATTCACCTACTACTCCACCTGGCACCACTGAGCTGCACAGTGTCAAGTATGAATATTGGGAGGAGGTTTCAAACAGCAAACAGCACTATGGCTTGGTGGTCACCTTACCACACTTTATAGATATCCAATGAACAATCAAGCTGGTTTAAAAGCTTATTAAACAACCAGACGCAGGTGTTCTACATGGTTTGTGCAATTTAATAGTCAACACTGTGCATGATGCGCTGGATAAAAAGAGCAGGGCCAAAACCAAGATAGGGTGAGCTCAGAAGTCCAGCTGTACAGATGGGGTGGTCACATGGAACTCTATGACAGAACCAGAGTTATCACCTTTGAAGTAATCAGATTTGCAGTGTTGATGAAGATTTCTGCTACAGGATGACTGTGGTTGGCAAACAGAAAAAACGGAGAAGCTGTATGTGAATGATATAGTGCAGTATGAGGACACAACTTAAAATCTGCTGGAAAAAAAATAAGTTGCCAGGGCTGAATCAGCACGGGGACAAGTGTCATTTGCAGAGTGAGGTGTAAATATTCATATGAACATGAAACTTGTGACATACATTTTTTGCCTCAACCTTATTTGTCATGGCAATTGTGCAAAAGGTGACATGCCAACCAGAAATCCTTTTTTAGTTAGATTAACTCTGCTACAGCATTACAGCCTCTGTTGATTCAGTAATATTCCGGTACATTATAAGCTTCAGATTTGCCATTAACAGCTCCATGGGAGAAATTTTTATGATTAAATGGCTCTAAAAACAAGCTCTGTAAATACACAAAGAAATCACTGCCCCCAGGTCCACTTCTTCCTCTGTCTCCGATTTCATCTCTCCACTTTTCACTCTCTCTCACCTGTCTCGTTGCCTCTCCTATGACATCATAAGATAGATTTCCCTTTTAAGAGTGCGTGGCTGACTGGTGCTAAAGCCTACATTAACTGTGTAAGTGGGCCACCATTTAACATTAAAAGCCTTTAATTTGCTATAAACTCGGGCGCATGTGCATTAACAGGCAGTGGTGCTGGGTTATTGTTCCTGCGCAGAGGGTTTTAAACATTAGCACCTCTGCAGTGGGTTAGAACACAGTAAGGAGAAGCTATTAAAACTGCTCTTATGTTACTCTCACATACACAGACAAGCAGAGACGCCTACTAAGCCAAGGAGAGACGGAAAGAGAGAGAAGCCATGAGACGAAGAGGGTGAGGCAGAGAGGGAGGATTGTATCATGGCATAAGGTTTCAGTGGGAGAATGAATTTAAACACTTCATCACTGGAAGATATTTACTTAAATGTAAACACCACCTTGGGATATCAAAAGTAAAATGGTGTGTGTGTGTGTGTGTGTGTGTGTGTGTGTGGTAGGCAAGCAGTGAGTAGTGCATTTGCATCTGTTTGGCTGTGGATGTGGCTGTGTGTGTCCTGCGGGGGCAGCCTGAGGGAATAGGTTAATTCTCTCGTCATCTTAGACACTTCCTGGGCTGCCGAAGCAAAGTGACAGCTAATCAACATTGTCATAAATAATCAATGGCCACTCTGAGCAGTCTCACGCACACACACATGCACATGCAGAAAGGCACACATGGGCACACACTCTCACACATGAGCAAAAACACACACAAGTCTGCTTGGATAATGGGGCCGGTGCTCCCTGTGTAATTCTTCACGCAGGGCTAAATTGGGAAAAGAAGGGAATGAGGTAAGATGGGAAGGATGAGAGGGGAGGGAGAGTTAGAGGAGAGAAGTGAATAGGAGGTGAGAGAAGAGATGAGAAGCAAAGGGTCGGGATGGGAATGCCTTCTGGCGGACTACCTGGAATTAGGGAAAATTAAACGTCACACACACATTCAGTCCCGTCTTCTTCCATCCTTCCTTTCTTTCTCTTTCACACACACATAGAAGAGATCGGAGCACTGCAGGGTGTTATCGTAAGAATTCTATTTGGGGTAAAGCGAAATTGCCTCTGGAGTAAGGACGAGGAGACAGGAGACAGGAGACAGGAGAGAGAGGGGAGGAGAGAGGATATGATTTTACACTCCTTTAATTAAAACAGAAAATCCATCTTGGAAAAAACGGATTAGTAAAAGTTAAATGAAAATAAACAGATAAAATCTATGCTGCACTGCTGTCTGTAAGCAAAAGGCAGATTTGATTTGTGATTTTAATGTGTGTGCATGTGTGTGTGGTAATGTTTGGGCCTGTCATTGGTATGTCAAATATTTGCTCATTAAATGACACAAACAGACATATACAGAGCGCAGTCCTGAGAGAGAGACGTGGACCGGATGATAGGAGAGCTGCGTTTAAAGCAGGGTGACCCCGATATAAACCCACACAAACACACACGTGCACTCAAATGTGGAAATTTAGGAATTAAAGAGATGATTAGTTATGAGGCTACAAGTGAAGTGTGTTTCTGTATGTGTGACTTCTACATCCGTGTACATGTGCACACGTTTGCAATTGTGTGTGTATGTGTAAACTCATGCAAGTGCTTGCTCTCTACCTCTGGTTTGGCAGGAGTCCAGTGTCGGTATAATTCTGGTCACGGTGGTGTCCGGTAAAAATAGTGCGGCCGTCTCTGTTCAGCCTGTACTGAGAGATGTGTCCGTTAGGCTGGGACGGCTGATCCCAGTATAACTCCACTGCAGAAATGTTTACTATCAGGTGTCTAGGCCTTGACCACACACCTGGAGAAACAAAGAGGAACAGAAGAAGAGGAAGTGACTGTTTTCCACATTCATTAACTGGCACCTAATAAACCAGTAAATTCATGTTGCACTACTGCTGTAACTACAGTTTGTCTTCTGTTTCATTCAAACTAACTGCAAACAACCAAAGAGCCTCCTGATACCAAAAGGTATAAAAGCACATCCACAGTCTTTCTGCCTGAGAATTAGGTATATCACCTTTGTGCAGTGTCCGGTGACATTTATTAGTGTGAAAATGCATATTATTAAATTACTCGATTATTTAGGTACAGTGAGGAACAGAAGTATTTGAACACCCTGCGATTAAGTTCTCCCACTTAGAAATCATGGAGGGGTCTGAAATTCACATTGTAGGTGCATTCCCACTCTGAGAGACAGAATAAAAAAAAATTTTCAGGAAATCACATTGTATGATTTTAAAAGAATTTCTCTTGAACTGCTCAACATAAGTATTTGAACACCTGAGAAACAGCAAGAATTCTGGCTCTCAAAGACCCGTTACTGTGCCTTGAAAAAGTCCACCTCTACTCCACTCATTAATCTAAAGTAGTAGCACCTGTCTGCACTGTATTAAGGAGAGGAGGAATGGGGCCATTTATTGTGAGATTTTGAGCAACAACCTCCTTCCCTCAGTCAGAGCATTGAAGATGGGTCGTGGCTGGGTCTTCCAACATGACAACGACCCGAAGCACACAGCCAGGATAACCAAGGAGTGGCTCCGTAAGAAGCATATCAAGGTTCTGG